ATTTGCTGATCGGACTTGGCCGATTTTTGTTCTTTTTGTTTTCAGTCATCCTGATTGGGTTGCTGTAAAGCTATTTCAGGACAAGACAAGCAATGAAGTGTGAGGTTGAGTAAACTTAAGTGTACTTAAGGAAAAGATTTTTTTGGCTTTATATTATGTCGTGCACTCAGACATGTTTTCAATGTAATTTTACCGGTTAAAGGAGATCGCTTTCAAAATAGGAGAGACGTTTTATAAGTATCAAAATATGCATGACGGCAAAGCGCCTAATGCAGAAGTGCTTAGAAGACTATTAAATGAGGAGTTCAACAGGCAAAGTGGGCAAAGACGCGATTCAAGTTTCAGTAAGAAGGCATTTTGTTGTTCAATAAATGTTGGGGTAGAAGTTATAAAATTTGTACCCCATTATGTACCCCTTAAAAATAATAAGGCTATGTAAATCAGATGTTTACATAGCCTTAAATTACCTAAGCTGTAGGGCGAGTTGCAATTTTTGCTACCCTAAAATACCCCAAATTCACTGCAATGTTTTGATTTCCATTCATTTCTATCTTTGAACTGTGAGGATCGGTGAGGCTGAGTAATTATCAGTAGACGAAACTTAGTGCCCCATTGTGTCCTCGCAAGAACATTAGGGAGCCGATCCTAATTTTACACTGAAAGTAAAATCAAGTTCAAATTAAAATTATGGAATTATGACAGTTCGCTTTTATTTAAAAAGACCAAATGATTATCGACCCTCCGTTATTTATGCTCGCTTCAGTATCAATATGACGACCTATAAATATTATCTGCTTGAAAAAATACATCCCACAGATTGGAATTTTAAAACACAAAAAGCCAAGCAAAGTGCGAAGAATTTTGACAGCTTTGAATTTAACCAACATCTTAAAGAGATAGCCGGTAAAATATCAGATGCATTCTACAACTACCAAAATACCCATAATGGTCAAGCACCAACTCATTCCGTTTTCAAGGAAGTTCTGGATGGTATTTTTAATAAGCAAAGTCAGGCAAGAATGAATCGTGAGTTACAAAGAACGTTTTGGGGGTTTCTTCAGAATTTTATAGACCGTATGGAATCAGGCAGCCGTGTACACCTTCAGAAAAATACACCGCTTTCACAAAGCACGATCAACAATGTGCGCAATTTGAAAAACCACTTGCTAGAATATCAGAGGGTGAGTAGAAGAACTATTGAATTTGGTTCAATTGACATGACCTTTTATTACGGATTTACTGATTACATGACAAAGGTTAAAAAAGCTAACATCAATACAGTCGGAAAATTGATTACGAATATTAAGGTGGTTATGCGAGAGGCACTTGAGTTTGGCTATACCAGCAACATGATTTTTACGCATAGAAAATTCCGGTCTGCATCTGCGGACACCGATATGGTATATCTCAACAGCAAAGAAGTAGAAGAACTCGGAAATCTCGACTTGTCTAAAGATCAAAGATTGGACCGTGTTCGTGACCTATTTTTGGTTGGTTGTTATACCGGCCTGCGTTTTTCGGATTTGTCAAGAGTATCAGCTGATGCAATTGATAACGATATTTTATGTGTAACGCAAATTAAAACCGGAGATCCTGTACATATTCCCTTGCGAGCGGAGGTAAAAACAATTATTGATAAGTATCACGGCGAATTTCCTCAAGCAATCTCTAATCAAAAATTCAATAAATATTTAGGGGAGGTATGTGCTAAATGTAAGCTGTTTGTAGATTCCGGACCATGCTCACCCCTCATTCCGTTTTATGTTGACCCCCCATTCCGGGATGTTGACCCAACCTTTAATTTATAGAGTTGCGTTTTATTTTAGGGGAGCTCATTTTATTATTCCGGGGTGTTAACCCCTCTGCGATTACTATTTTCCGGATTATACATTGCTGTCCTTCCGGCATGTTGACCCCTCATTGGTAATTAGTTGTAAAGTGCTTTTATGATGTTTTTTGCACCCTTAAATCAAGGGAGCCATGTCACAAAAGCCAATTACAATGGAACATTTAAAACTGGTATTACAACTCAAAAGAGACGGTATAGCGATAAAGGAGATTGTACGCCGCACTGGAATCAGCCGCAACAGTGTACGTAAGTATCTTGCCAAGTTTGATATCGAAGCCGAATCAATCTCAAACAAAGAACTAGCGGATACGGCTTATAATAATGAGCAACTGGAGCGAGATACATTGCGTTTGCAAAACCTGGTGCAGTTTTTAAAATATGCATCAACGGAGCTTACAAAGACTGGAGTCACCCGTCAATTACTTTGGTATGAATATCTACAGCTTTATCCGGATGGCTACGGGTACAGCCAGTTCTGCTACCACTTAAAAGGGTATCATAAGAATAGCGATTTATCCATGCACCTGGAATATAAACCCGGTGACATGATCATGGTTGATTTTGCTGGCAAGAAAAGATATTATGTGGACGAGCAAACGGGTGAACGCATAGACTGCGAAGTATTTGTTGCGATACTGCCTTACAGCGGTCTTATTTTTTGCTATGCAGTACACACCCAACAAACGGCAGATCTCACCACCTGTTTCAATGCGATGCTACACTTCTATGGCGGATGCCCTTCTACCATTTTATGTGACAATCTGAAGACAGCGGTAATCCGTCCTAATAAGTATGAATCCGTTTTTACAGAGATGTGCAATCAGCTTGGAGAACACTATGCTACCACCTTCAGTGCCACCAGGCCGTATAGCCCACGTGATAAAGCGATGGTGGAGCGGGCAGTGAACATTGTCTATACGCGTATTTACGCCCCATTGAGAAACAGAACCTTCGCCAGCCTGAAGATGCTTAATACAGCCATGTATGACCAACTCTTGTTACTCAATGACAAGCCCTACAAGAATACTGCCCATAGCCGTTGGTACTTTTACGATCTGCAGGAAAGGTCCACACTCCGGGCACTACCTACCGAACCCTTTGCACCCAAAAAGGTGGTCATGCTTACCGTACAGCGTAACTACCATGTTCAGCTATCGGAAAACCATCATTACTACAGCGTCCCTTATCAATACGTAGGTAAAAAAGTGAAGGTGCTGTACGATAACCGGGTAGTGGAGGTATACTATGATCACGAGCGCATCGCACTGCATCTGCGTAAACCACATCAAAAAGCATACACCACACTCAATGACCATATGCCCCCGCACCACCAGCGGATGCAGGAAATAAAGGGTTGGAATAAAGACGACCTGCTTGCAAAGGCTGCTCTCATCGGTATAGCTACCAGACAGGCCGCTGAGCTGATGCTGGAGAACAGTATTTATATCGAGCAAAACTATAAAGCTTGTTTTGGGATGCTGATGCTTACAAAAAAATATGGTACCAATCGCCTTGAGGCTGCCTGTGTCCGGGCATTACAGGGAACAAGGATAAACTATACCATGATTAAAAACATCCTGGAAAGAGGCCTCGATAAGATGATAGTCTTACCAGACAGGAACAATACCATACCCGATCATGATAACATCCGGGGAAAAGATCATTACCAATAAATGTCACTAAATCCAAAGCAATGAATACAACACAAACACTTGAGCAAATGCAGCACTTGAGATTACAGGGTATGTACCAGTCTTACAAAACGCAGATGGAACTTCCCATGGACCAGCAACTGGAAGGTCACGACCTGGTAGCCCAGTTAGTTCAATCCGAACAACTCAGCCGCATGAATGAAAAAACTGCCTATTATCTTAAACTGGCTAAACTGCGCCTACCGGCAAGCATTGAAAATATAGAATGTAACCCCGCACGCAATCTTACCAAACAACAACTGGCAACCCTTGCAGAAGGAAGGTATATACAGCAGGGAGAAAATGTACTGATCACTGGTGCCACTGGTTGTGGTAAAAGTTATCTCGCCTGTGCACTCGGGCACCAGGCCTGTATGCAGGGATACAAAACCACCTACCTGAATATGAACCGCCTCATTGAAAAAGTAACCTTATCAAAGTTAGATGGCTCTTACATCAAGCTACTAAACCACCTGGAAAGACAAACACTCATTATCCTCGATGATTTTGGCTTACAAAACCTGGGGCAGGAAGTACGGCTTACCCTTTTGCAATTACTCGAGGACCGCTATGGAAAGAAAAGTATCATCGTAACATCACAACTACCGGCAGGAAAATGGTATGAGTATATTAATGATCCTACACTTGCAGATGCTATACTAGACAGACTGACAGCTAATGCACATCGGATTGAACTAAAAGGAGAATCATTAAGAAGGAAAAAAATGAAACCAAATCAATAACCATTTGTATTTTTGATACCTCATAAAGCTCTTACACTTATTGCCTGCTTCGCAGAAGGGTCATCATCCCGGAATAGGGGGTCAACATGACCGGAATTTACAAGCTGTTAAAAAAGGAGGTTAGCATACAGACTTTTACTGCGGGTAAGCGGGTGTCCATTGTCAAGCCCAAGTATGAATTTGTTACATCCCACACAGCACGAAGATCGTTTGCGACCAATGAATATTTAGCAAGGGATCTACAGCCTGCTGAAATTCGATCGATCACCGGACATAAAACTGATAAGTCATTCTATAAATATATTCGGACTACGCCAAGAGAGAATGCAGAGAATGTGGCTAAGAAATGGAAGGAGCGGGAAAACCGGAAATTGAGAATAGTTAATGCCTCAAGTCAATTGCGCGCTGTTTAAACAGCGTTAAAATTGCCCCTTTGTGCAAGAGCCAGCTGCACAAATCGGATGTCATCACAATTTGTGATGACATGATAGTTTAAATTTTGCAATCAGTCGGTTGAATAATTAATAATTTTAATGAGTGAGTTTTTAATTGAAATGTAGTGTATGAATATTCGATTTTATCTAAAGAGACCAAAGTCCGAAAGCGCCACAGTAATATGTGCCCAGTTAAACTATAACATGACTTCGTTTCGATATTATTTACCTATTAAGATTCAGCCTAATGAATGGAATTTTAAATTGCAAAGAATGGAAAAGAATAACAACTATGTTGATTTCAACAACCGGCTAGAGTGGATAGCATCAAAAATAACAGATGTCTTTTATAACTATATAAATAACAATGATGGCAGAATGCCAACGAAAGAAGTTTTTCGTAATCTGTTAGAGACAGTATTTGAGAAAAGAAAAGCGTCTAAATTACCTCCAAAGAGGGAAGTGTCCGATGTAAATTTTGGGATTCTAAAATTATAATAATAGTAAATTCGAAGCTTGTGCCACAAATTCTCACCGCGATAAACGATTGTAATATTCAGTGCAAAATCCTATTGCATTGACCCACCGATTCCGGTTTTGACGTTTGCCGATCTTTGCAACCAGTGAATACCAACCTCGGGATTGAACTGCTGAGATCGTGCCGTAACCGGTCATAAAACGGGCAAATCCATTTATAGATATACGTTTTACTCCAAGAGAAAGTGTTGAAATGTAGCTATGGAATGAAAGGAACGAGAAGAAAAAATGCCATAACATAAAGAGAAATGAACAATACTAATCAAAAATTTAAAACTTTAGTGTGTCAATGTTTCCAAGTAATGTTGCTTCATTATCAAGCATAAATTCGATGAGTGGTATTAAATTATCACAAAGTGTATTTGCATCGTTTACTAATCCACGGATATTATAATTGTGAATGATTGTGTGGGGTTTCTCTAACTCAAAATTTAAAAAAGCTTGTTTTTTCCCTGGGTTTTTAATACTATTCTCAAACAGTGATTTTAGCACAGCAAAATTTGTATATTTTTTACCACTGAGTGGAGGAAATGCGGGTTTAAAATATTTATTGTCTTTTAGAAAAACACCATTGTATTGCGTTTCCTCAATGACATATTTGAGGCAGCATTCAAATGCCACACGTGTCATTGCAATTTTTGCATTGGTAAAACTGTTCTCGTTCAGTCCATAACATTCATCGATTACCTTTTTTAGTGGTCCCGGGATAATTCTGTTATAATTAGGTTTGCGTTGGACTTGGTTTATATGGGGTAGCTGTGCGGATGGTGCTGAAGCGGGGGATGCTGGTGAAGAACTGGGAGGTTGCGAAGAAGAGGGTAATGCAGCGGTAACGCCCGGTGGTGGTGTTTGAGCGGAATTTGTGGGAACATTTCCGGGTGAAGTGCCTGGTTGCGGCTGAGTACTTGCTCCTGGCGTAGTACCTGATGTAACAGTATTGGATAAGCCAGCAGCTGCAAGAAAAGCTTCTTTGTTTGCATCATAGTCCCTGGTTGAGGCTCCTGGATTATTGGTTAAGTATTTGACGATTTTTTCTATATAGTCCTTAAACTTGTTTTTGTCCGTTATCTGAATAACGTAGTCGGGCTTGTTTTTGAATTTATAGCCATTTAAATCTGAGTACCTGAATAGACGTTCAAATATTGCAGCTTTACCGCCTGTGACTCCTCTGCCTTTTCTTAATAGCTTCTTCAGATTATCACCAGATATTTTTACGGCATCATAATAAAAACTTGCCAATTTGATAAGCGGCCCTGGCTGACTATCTATTTCTTCCATGGCCTCGAGGGAGGAGCCCGTTTTGAATAAACGAAAAACTTCAAGAGCTTTTGCCATTCTATCCCATTCCTTGAATAAGCTGCGCGTATGCTCTTCGATAATTCTATTTTCTATCTCGGTTTTATTCGTATAAACTACAACCGGAAGGTTGAGAAAAGTGTAACTGGGTGCTGTCAATCCATATTTCGATGGATTAACTAATGCTTTAACCGCAGCACAACGTCTATTGCCATCTTTGACAACCTTTTCTTTGCCATCATCAAATACCAATAAAGGCTTGTCCACATAAAATTCCTTGGTGTGAGCCAAACGATCTGCTAAGGCAGAAGCAGATTCACTAAAAAGGAGGTACTCAATTAAGTCGTCCTCTTTATGACTGCCAGTGTACAATTCGCCGAACCTCGGATTGTTGATATCCAAGACCAAATCATTGGGGTTTAAAAATGTCACCATTTTTTGCATAATCTATAATCTTGTGGGTTGCAAAATAGTAGGCACGCTCAATCCTTGACTAAAAAACAATACTTCTTTACCCAGACGAGGTGCATAAGCTGTATGCATGAAGCTGTAATTTTTCTTTTGTACACTTGTATCTCTATAAAGAGATTGGATCTGCGGTACATTATCGTACGATACAATCCACTTAGCATTTTTAATGCTTTTAATTTTCTCACTCACCTTTTTATGATCACGTGGTCCATAAGAATTCATGTACAGTGACTGACCTTTTAGGAAATACGGTGGATCAAAATAGTAGATCACGTTCTTACTTCTTGACTGTCCGCTGATGTTACTGATCAATTCTAGGGCATCAAGATTATACACCTGAATATTTTTCCTGTGTATTGCGATAAACTTAATCCGTTCGATGAGCTCTTCTTTGTTAAATCGGCAATCTATTTTATAATTTCCTGTTTGTGTTACGCCCCCAATCACACCACCATTTATAATCCCGGATCTGTTGGTTCTGTTAAGGAAGAATGTCGAAAATCCTAGTTCCAGTAAGTCGGCCGTTTCTTTCCGGTACTGGATTTCTCGCTGAACCTTCCAGTTTTCAATGTTGACCTCCGCATCGGTAATCATTCTGCAGAATTGGGATGTATTGTTTAAAATCGAATACCAAAACGCATATAAAGAACGATCAAAATCGTTGATGCTGATTTTCTTTACAAAGCCATTTAGAACCAGATGAAGAGCAACTGAAGCTCCGCCGGCATAAGGTTCAATATAGTGTCCGTTAATACGGTTGGTTACGCAAACCAAAGCAATAAACTTGGCTAGTTTATTTTTGCCGCCGGGGTATCTAAGTGGAGAATAAAATTTCATGTTAGCCTTTCGATTTAGTTGTTCTATTTCTGTAATCATCAAATACAAATTTTATCAAGGGTTGTATCTGATCCCAGGCATCTTTTACACGACTTTCTACAGCGAATATGTCAGGATTGTGGTTTATACTGTCCAAGTACCATTTATTGTTTTGTACCTCGTTGATAACTTGGACTAGGCCATGATTAGAAACCGCCTGCAAATCCGTTTTAAGTTTCTGCAAAACATTTGCAAGAAAAATAAACGAGCCTGGTTTTCTTGAAGGAAGACTGTTAGTTTCCTCCAAATACTTTTTGAGGGTGATTTCTAGGAAGGTCCTGAGTAAGTCTGCTGTTGCGTTTGGAAATTTTGCATAGTCAATCGTTTGTAATTCCCACATGACCCGCCCTACACCCGGCGCGTTCAACGTATCTTCAAAATGTTTGGGAATTAGCCCCTTCTGACTATGTTTGATTGAATTTGTAGGTTTAAAGCTTGCCGCGGCCTTTTTACTTTTCTTATTAAGGTCCCTGCCGTCCAGAACCTCATTAATGACTGAGTCAATGTAAGTTTTCCTCTGTTTTTCTTTAGCAAGTTGTTTACGCGACGTGGCAATTCCAGATGCGATATCTGTAACTACTCGTGAATACACCTTGTCAAAGTCATCAGTAGCGGGTATTGTAGCCTCGCCTGTGGTCTTATTAAAGTTGATACCCAGCGTGTTTTGTATATGATTGTCGCTATAAAAACGTTCCAGGGTCGAGATGGTAAAAGTCCCCTTGTTCGATACTTTTTTTCTAGTTTCTTCTGAAATGTGTTTGAGCGATATAGCCACATTGTGCATTTCATGCATTTTAATATAGCTGGGGATGTCGACGCCTTTGTATCGTTGTATCAGTTGATCAATGCTCTGTCCACTTTCTTTTTGCGCATAATAAAAATAAGCACGTCGTAATGCTGTCCATGGTTTGCGCGTTGTTTTCGTATGTTTAGCAGCCAGGTATTCCATGGCTTCATCTCTGGATGTGGCCACATGAACCCAAACAGAATCAATAGGGATTCTGTTTGTCATTAATTTTTTTATTCGGCCCGCATATCTTTTTGGCGCAATAGATGGAGTGTGCATTGCCTTCAATGAAGCTACTCTTCTGTTGCCCTCCAGTACCACAAGCTTTCCTAGTTCTTTCACTACAACAGGTGGTTCATCAGGAAAATATCCATTTTGAGCTATTGTTTCAACAATCTGCATTGCATCTTCGTTTGCAAAGAGGTCATTTAGAACTTCTGTTTGCGAACTATACCCAGTACCAAGTCGAACGTTTTTTTGCATCCAGAACTAAATTAGCTATATCCACCTTTTGTTCTTTCCACTTCTCTTGATAGTTGATGATCTGTTTCTTTTTCATCATAGATAGTTTTGGGTGCTCACTTCAACGAAAAATAAATGATGTTATTGTTTAACACCACCGTAAATGACTGGTGGTTAGGCGGCTACGTTTGGGGGAGAGGTAGGCAAGATATAGGGTTATTTTGATATTTGCAACCCCTAGTGCCGATAATGACTCTTTTAGGTAAATAATAGTATTTTGAGTATTACTACTTCAAAAACATACATATGCCTGACATAACTAACTTTATTCATGCTGCAGACGAACAGGTTACTGGCCAAGGTACTAACGCGGCAGCATTGCAGTATAAACAAAATAACGGCCAGCCTTTTAATAGATTATTTGTAGAGGTAAGCTTTGGAATAGGAAGAGCTACGTCAATACCGTGGATTGCTTTCTTAGGATACAATCAAAAAGTACAACGAGGGATTTATCCTGTGTTTTTATACTACAAGGAATTTAGTACGTTGATATTGGCCTACGGGATTTCCGCAAATAACGAACCTCATGAGTTCTGGCCTAACGCTGAGGCATTGGAATCAGTAAAAGAATTTTTTGAGCAAAGGGCAATTACCAACTATAAAAAGTATGGTGATTCTTATGTTTATAGAACGTATTCTACCGACCAGCTTGATGAAACCACGCTGCAAGCTGACTTGTTGAGTTTAACGGAATATTTTCACAGCGTATTTAATCCTGTGCCAGCAGAGGGCGCGAATATTCCTGTGTATGATTTTGATACTGACTCTGATAAACCATTTATTTCCCGGGATCTATTTTTTAAAACAGTTCATCTCTTACAAAGAAAGAAGAATATCATTCTACAAGGCCCGCCTGGTGTAGGCAAAACATTTATTGCCAAGAAGATAGCTTATCAATTGATGGGTCGAAGAGCGGACGCATATACTGAAATGATACAATTCCATCAATCCTACAGTTACGAGGATTTTATTCAGGGATTGCGCCCAACGGTCAATGGCATTAAAATCATACAGGGTATTTTTTTCAGGTTCTGCCAAAAAGCTATTGCGCATCCGGACAAACCATTTTTTTTCATTATTGATGAAATCAACAGGGGAAACTTAAGCAAGATATTTGGAGAGCTACTGATGTTAATCGAACCTGATAAGCGAGATGAAAGATATGCTATCAAGCTTACTTATTCAGAGATCGATGATGATACTTTCTTTATACCTCCTAACTTATACATAATTGGCACCATGAACACAGCGGACAGGTCGTTGGCTATGGTAGATTATGCTTTGCGAAGACGCGTTGCCTTTATATTACTTCAACCTGAGTATGGTGATAGTTTTCGCAACTAGTTAAGATCAAAGTCCATGTG